TGCAAGTTCTTGAACAGCGATGTGGCAGTGAACACTGTCCCTGCATCCAAAGGGATCCCAAGCAAAATGGCACTCCCAAAGGTGAGTGACGAGATAAACAAAGGGGTACTCCACAAGACGATCATGTTTCCACCGATAGAGATCATGAATTTGGTAAGCCACCCATATTCAGACTCGCGAAATTCCTGAATCCTTTTGTTGAAGTGTTCTTCCCAAGCTTGGAACTTGATCACCCTCATGTAATTAAGCATCTCGTTCGTGGCTTTCATCCTCAAGTCACGATTTTGCATTATRCTGAATTGAAACCTGTTGTTCCTTTTAGTACCAAAGATCACATACAAYAAAACCGCCAACAGCCCGACCAAAGTTACCATGGCTGGCAGGCCAATGTACATGTATAGAATGGCTAATGCCACCGTGACTTGGACTGGCATAAGCCAAATAGCATGCAACTGAAGCATCATATCAGAGAGCTGTTGAGCATCTACAGCCATGTAGTTCACAATCTGTCCAACGCCATGAGATTGTCGGGCCGAACAAGAGAGTCGTAATCCCTTTTTGTATAGAGAAGTTATGAGGGTGGACCTTATCAACATTCCAAGCTTCTGAGAATGGAAATTAAACTGGTGGGATGCCAGAACTTCAATAAACTTTGCAGAAAGAAGGATTAGAATCAAGTAATACCCTTCGTACGGAGAGCTACTCTTCCCTGAAGTGAAATCGATGAATCTTTGGATCAATAGAGGTCCAACGTACATGACACAAAGCCTTACAGTGGCAATGAACGCAGTGAATGCGACTTGTTTCCAGAAGCAACGAAGCAATGTGGTTCGAACAGGATGTTTGTTCTTYTCATGAGGCTTAGGCCATTTCTCTTCAAAAAGCTTAGACATTCTCTCTGCCCGATGTTCAGGCGAAAGTGTTGGGATGTCCTCAAGTTTTAGAGGTGTTCTGTACCCTTTCTTTAACAAAGGGTTCATCCACAGCCAAAAGACTTTCGATAGAATTGAAGCCGATGCCCATCCACTCACTTTCGGTGACTTGTTCAAGTTATCAGCGTCAGATACTTTACCATTACCATTTAGTGATTCAGATTCTGTTGTCACGATTACTCCAGTAGTGCCAGTGATGGATTGAATCAAGAGGAAAACTGAAAGTAGTAGACATACCAACGAAACCATGTCTTGGGATTTTAAAACTGGCGTGTTTCCAGTTCCGGAAACTAACCGGATGAGGCTGGAAGAAGCCAACAGAGCAATGATGATGAAATTTAYTACCCAGAAAACACGAAGAGAGACCGGATGAGTCACAGCTTGAAATCTTTTCTCATGGATGATCAAAACAGTGATGACAAGAAAAGTTAGAGCTTGAATTAACCAACAGATTCCAGCTATTAGCTTCCATGTTATCTGGGTATTTTGGGTGAATGCCAAAACAGAAGAAGCAATGGATATTACAGCTAAAATAGCTGTCACGAGCAGAGATAATTTAAACTGAAGATTGGTCTGGACAAGTGGTCTCTTTTTAGTGAGAAGAGGTTCATCAATGGCGGAGGTGGTGYTGTGGGAGGAATAGAGTTTTTGGATAGCAAAAAAGAAGAGGATGAGCAAGAAGAGGACATCAATGGAGGMTAAAAGTGCCCTTTGAGGGCATGGAGAGAGGAAGATGAACCTGAGCCATTGAAGTATGAGTGGAAGTCCTGAAGCATCAACTGGCACAACAGAGGTTGAAGAACASGAAAGGGAGGTGAGCCAAGATGAAGCAGAAGTCATTTTTGCTTCCAAATGAAACCCACCACAAAAGATATATGGTCAACTGCKGGAAAGCTTTCAATTTCTATTGTACAGCTCCACCAATCTGCATCCTGAAAAGATAAATATATACAAAACAAGAACATTAAAGCAGAGAAAACAAAAAAGTCCGATGAAGAAAATCAGATTGAGTTATGTAGGAAAGATGAGACAAAGTTGCGMTGAAAAACAGATCCTTGCATGACGTGAGAATCTGATAAAGAGAAAGTAATTTTTATGAAAAAAAATCCATGGAATCTGAAGTATAGTTGAGGAATCCAAGTTTATTGGCAACAGGTGGAGAGGAAGTGATTSATCATCCTCTGTTTCCGATCTCATTCAGATAATAAGGCAGTCGGAGTGGGGGTTGATGCAGGATGTTTAAGCACGTTCCTCATTTGAAGTTAAAAAAAAAAGAAATTGAAATCCCATCGAGTCCAGGAAGTAGATATTTGATATGGTTTGCATATGATAGGAAGAAAAGAAAAGGAAGTGTGAACATTTGCAGGTACAGATTGGGTGGGTGGAGAAGATGCTTGAGTTAGAAATTTGATAAAAAAGGTAGCAGTTAATGTGAGCGGATTGGATGTAAGATAGAAAAGTTTGTTACCTTATTGTGGGTGTTGAGAATGGAATGGTGGGTTAATTTAGTGAAGAACATAAAGCAGAGGCGGTAGGAAGAAGAGGATGAATTTATGTGGATGGCAGTTTGGCATAGAGACAAAGGCTACTTCGGGGAAGATATGAATGGCCTTTCTTGGACATACGTCTACAACTTGTTCTYCTCCTCCTCCTCCACCATTGCTTTATTTTATGCTCAGAGAGATGTAATTCCTTTTGGCCCTGGCCCCTCCCTCATTTCTCAACTCCAAATTACATCATTTATTAATTATTTGGATTTATATTCGATTGTTTCAAGTTACGGAATAAATAAATTACTAAAATCAAAACTGCCTTTTTTAAACAAATAACCATATTCTAAACTAAAAAAAAAAAAACCTTTTTCATGTTTATTTAATGTTTATTTATTACCTATGCCTTCACGTGAAACACGTCAGGATTGGATTGGATTGGCCAGTATCTACTAAAATAACCCTTATATAATAATTCAATTGGTCTTTTCATATTATATTACAAATATTCAAACCAATTTATTTATGTCACACACTTTTTAACCACAAAGGTTATGATATCGTAGAATATCTATTCATTTTTAAAAGGGTTAAATCCATTTATTTTTTAAAAAAATATTTATTATAGCATTTTTTTTTTCTTTATTACAATAATGTATTTTCAAATTATTTTTTATTAAGCCATCGTATTTTAAAAAATTTACTCATAATAACAATGAGTAACCTGTTACCTTTTATACCGATTAACCCTTTACCTTTTTTTGCTTGTGTGGCTTTAATGAGGTGATGTGGATGACACATCATTTTGATGACTTAACTAAAATAAAAATAAAAACCTATATCAAATTAAAATTATTATTAGTGATTTTCATTTTTCATTGATATGATAAAATAATTTTGAAAGTACACTGATGTAGTAAGAAAGTCATATCACTATAGTACATGTGGACAGCCTACGTGGACAATGAGGTGGCATGGGAACCTAGTATAATGGGTAAATTTAAATCAAAAGGTTACCCAATGCTATGATGAATAAATTTTTCAATGTACAATGTCCTAATAAAAAATAGTTTGAAAATACAATGCTATAATAAAAAAATTTATAAAAATAAATTGTTATTTTGTGCATTTTGCCCTTTTTAAAAATACATAACCATTGAGTTTATCAGACTAATTTCTTACCGTCACAATTTACTAGGATTAGTCTCCATGCCTTTACGTAAATAAATAATTATTGTACAGTTACAAATTTTTTTAAAGAACTAACTAATAGTAATAATTAATTGGTAGTAGACATACAAGATCATCATTAAATATTATTAATAATTAATCATTATCTTCATTAGAAAAGAAAAAAAAACTTCATCATGAAATTATATCTTTTATTTTTCACAATGAAATATACGCAATCATCATAAAATTTGAATTGATTAAAAGTATAATAAAAAAACAAAAGATCCTTATTATATAATAGACTTGGGATTATGTGAGAACGGCCTGTTTTCGTAAAACCCGTGAGACCACCTTTTTACACTTGAAACTTCGCAGTAAAATGTTGTGAATGCGACTTTTTTTAACCTTTACAGTGTTTTTGCTGTGAAGTTTCAAGTATAAACAATGTAGTCTTACGGGTCTCACGAAAACAGGTTGGTCTCACGTGAACCCAACCCATATATAATATGTATATATATAAACTTTGTGGGGTAAACTTAAAAAGTTTGCAGCAGGGTCACGAGTGTTGACGGACATGAGGTGGTGATTACGACAGATGAATCATAAGCCCGTGGAGCGGTTCGCATACTCTTGGACCAATGCACCAAACAACGATGGTCTCTCTATCAACCGTGAAGGTTTMTCAAACTCTTTCGCATACCCTGCATGCATGTTTCCCAACTTTATTATAAACCCACAAATTAACTCCCAATCATCTACCATGGAATTAGAATACATCCACTTCACTTACCCGCATCGATCACCAATACGCGATCACAGTCCATCACCGTTGGTATTCTGTGCGCGATGCTGATGATGCTGCACTCCGCAAACTCCTCTCGTATGATTTTCTGAATCACCGCATCCGTTTGTGAATCCACCGAAGCCGTTGCTTCGTCCATGAATAACAGCCTGCTGTGCTTCAGCATCACCCGTCCCAAACAAACAAGTTGTCTTTGTCCCACGCTCCAATTATCGCCATTATCAACAACTAGGACCAAAACTCATTCAACTTCCAACACTAAAACACTACCCTTGTTCTTCTACTTGCTAAACAAATAAATATCAATCTTTGGATCATCGTACCTGCAGAATCTAGTTTACCCGGTTTCGAAGCTACAACATCCTTCAGTTGGCAACGTTCAAGACTCTGCAAAACAACTTCTAGTATTAGATCAAATATTAGACATCATATMCATGGAAACAAGAAAATAAGATTACCCTCCAGATCTCTTCATCAGAATATTGCCCAATTGGGTCGATATTGCTTCTCACAGTGCCTTCGAAAAGGATTGGTTCTTGAGGAATGATCCCAAAYCGAGACCTGAGATCATGTAATCCGAGCGTGGAGATGTTGATGCCGTCAATGGTTATACTTCCGCCAGATGGCTCCACCAGCCTAAACAGAACCTGGATGAGAGTTGATTTCCCACCTCCGGTTCTACCAACCACACCGATCTTTTCACCTCCTCTAATGCTTAGGGTAATCCCTTTGATCACCAAAGGCGTGTTTGGACGATATCTAACCTGTGCTCAAAAACCCAGCATCCATAATTTCCAAGTAAGATCACTCTTCAGAGGACGATTAGTTTCAATTTAGGTTTACAGATTCTTGTATTTTCAAGTTACCTGCAAATCTTTGAGCTCTACATTGCCTTTAGAAGGCCAMTTTGGAGGAGGGGGGCTATCTTTTTTCACCCATTCGGCTTCTGACGGTATGTTGGTGAACTGTTTAATCCTCTCAACAGAAACCATTCGGTTTTCGACAAAGCAACTCATGTATATCGCCCAAAACAGCGCTCCATTGAGTGACAATCCATACGAGAGTGATAATCCGACGTTCGCTGTGATCGACATAGCCCATTTCAAGATTAGTCCTCCAAAGAAACAAGAAAGGATTTTTGGGGTTAAGTTGCAAATATACCTGGTTTAACAATACTGCTAGGCAAGAGGATCATGAAAACWGTGGAAACACATAAGAATAAGCTTCCAATGAACTCCAAACGAAAACCTAACCACCCATTAGATCCATTATTGTGGAAATCCATTCTAAGATTTCCATTCACACGATCAACGTTTTCCTGAACAAACCTGTCCTGTTTCCTAAAACACCGAATTGTCATAACCCCAGAGATACTCTCCGAGAAATGGTGAATCACTGGTGCTTTGGTAATCGAATCAAGTCGTGTTATTTCACGAGATGTTGCAAGAAAGAATCGCTGACAACAATCAGGCAATAAGATCAAATCAGATTTTTGAGATACCATGTTCTAYACTAACTTGTTGATTAACACGAATGAAACATACCCGATACCAGAAATTGAGCCAACCGAGTGGAATCAGTAGGAACACAGTCGGCCAAGCGTACTGACAAGTGATGACGATAATGCCAATCACTGTTATGTACATAGAAAGAGTCAAGCTTGTTGTAAATGGAAGAAAAATATCGATGTTTGTTTGATCACTTGATGCCTGAAAAGATTAAACAAATAAGCATATTTTCGTTCAGTAAATGATAGTTAGTCCAACAGGAAGTTACCCAAAATGAAAGTTAGAAACTTTACCCTACTAAGAATTCTTCCTGAAGGCGTGGTATCAAAAAATGACATCGGAGCATGAAGAATGCTGTGTAGAATCTGTTTGAAGAAAATCTGGCTAGTTTTAAGCCCAAGAAGTGTTGCAGAAATGACTCTGCCAAATACCAGAAGGAAGGAAACACCCGCTATGGCTGTATAAACTTGTATGAATAGTAAAGGGTTGAAAGAGGCAGCCTGATCATCAGCGGTTTCGTAGGCCAACCAGTAATCGCTTGCCATCTGTGCACCTTGCCACGTCAATGAGAAGAACAAAACAATAATCACACCCCACCATCCAAAAGCCTCAGTTACATAAACTTTATAGACATTTAAGCTGATTCTTCCTGTTTCCCTCTCTTCTTCTTCTATTAGTTTTGATGTTCCTATGATAGAACTAGACTTGGATCTTTCTAGAACTTTCTGGTTTTCATCGTTTTCTTCCCTTGTGTTTGCAGCAGGAGATTTCTGTAGAGGTCTAGGGGAAGCAATTTCTGATGTTGTAGCATGCATTTCTACTAGTTGCAGAGAAGTTTCATGGGCAGAAACTAGAGCTTTAAAATCTAGACCAGATTCTAGTAATTCATCATACTTTCCCGATTGAACAATCATCCCATCTCGCATAACCTAACAGAGATTAAGTTGGATTAGTTCAAGGATTGACAGAATGATAAAAACCCTAATCTGCAAATCTAAAGAAGACTTGAGCTACTTACTAAGATCAAATCTACATTATGGAGGAAATCAACTTGGTGGGTGACGAGCAAGATTGTCTTGTTTCTGAGGGATCCCCTCACACACTCCTGAAATTTTTTTAAGAAAAAAGAGACATTTGAGATTGTGTAGAGTAAAAGAAGTGGATACACTTTGATGTTGCTATGATGACCTTGAATATTTCTGAACCGGTGTGAGCATCAACGGCGCTAAACACGTCATCAAGAAGATAGATGTCACAATCTTGATAAACAGCTCTGGCAAGTTGAATCCTCTGCTTCTGGCCACCGCTGAGGTTAATCCCACGCTCACCGATCTCAGTTTGATCTCCGAMTTCCATCATTTCCAAGTCTTTCTCCAAGCAACAGTTCTTGATTACTTGTTTGTACTTCTGTCCATCCATTGCTAAACCAAACAAAATGTTGTCTTGGATTGTCCCATTTTGAATCCATGCCGTTTGTGCAACATACGCAGTGCTTCCGCACACCCTCACCTGATATAACATCAACAACAGAGTTTGTGACGTTCTTTATTAAATTTTATGATGCCATCTATCAATGATTATCCTAAAGATTAGGGGGTACCTTCCCGGAGATTTTGTGCATTTCACCAATAATAGATGAAAGAAGAGATGATTTCCCTGAACCCACGGTCCCAACAATTGCTGCAAGTTCACCTTTCTTGACCTTAAAGTTCAAGYGGTTAACCACACCACCTTCAGCAGCTTCATCGTCCCAGCTGAAGGACCCATCTGTCACCTCAATCGCCGTGCTGCCGCTGCAATCCTCCTGCCTCTCAACCGCTCCCTCATCCAACTCCTTACTCAACATGAACCCATCCAATCTCCCCAATGAGATCATGGCCTGAGATAGAGAGATCATTGACTGAGGAAACGTCCGAATTGGCTCCTGCAAGTTCTTGAACAGCGATGTGGCAGTGAACACTGTCCCTGCATCCAAAGGGATCCCAAGCAAAATGGCACTCCCAAAGGTGAGTGACGAGATGAACAAAGGGGTACTCCATAAAACGATCATATTTCCACCAATAGAGATCATGAATTTAGCAAGCCACCCGTATTCAGACTCACGAAATGTCTGAATCCTCTTGTTGAAATGTTCTTCCCAAGCTTGGAACTTGATCACCCTCATGTAATTAAGCATCTCGTTTGTAGCTTTCATTCTCAAATCACGGTTTTGCATTATACTGAATTGAAACCTGTTGTTCCTTTTAGTACCAAAGATCACATACAATAAAACCACCAAGAGCCCGATCAACGCCACCACGGTTGGCATCCCGAGGTATGAGTAAAGGATCGCTAACGCCACCAAGACTTGTAGTGGCATAAGCCAAATAGCATGCAACTGAAGCATCATATCAGAGAGCTGCTGAGCATCTACAGCCATGTAGTTCACAATCTGTCCAACTCCATGAGATTGTCGAGCCGAGCACGAGAGTCGTAATCCCTTTTTGTATAGGGATGTTATCAATGTGGATCTTATCAACATTCCAAGCTTCTGAGAATGAAAATTGAACTGGTGGGATGCCAAAACTTCAATGAATTTCGCAACGAGAAGGATTAGTATCAAGTAATATCCCTCGTAGGGATCGGTAGTCTTCCCTGAAGTGAAATCRACGAATCTTTGAATCAACAAAGGCCCGACATACATAACACAAAGCCTTACAATTGCAAGGAATGCGGTGAAGGCGATATGTCTCCAGAAACAACGAAGCAACGTGGTTCGAACAGGATTCTTSGAGTTTTCACCTGGCTTAGGCCATTTCTGTTCAAAAAGCTTGGACATTTTCTCTGCCCGATGATCGGGTGATAGAGTTGGGACGTCGTCGATTTTTAAAGGGGTTGTGTACCCTTTCGTCAACAACGGGTTCATCCACAGCCAAAAGACTTTGGATGCGATGGAAGCCGATGCCCATCCACTCACTTTCGACGACTTGGTGGAGTCATCATCATCCTCCTCTGATCCTTCACCATTACYGTTTACTGATTCAGATGCTGTTGCCACTGTGATTCCGGTAGAGCCGGTGATGGATACGATGAAAAGGAAAAGTGAAAATGGTAGAGATATCAATGAAATGATGTTTTCAGGGGTGTTTCCTTTTCCGGAAAGCAGGCGGAGAGTGGCTGAAGAGGCAAACAGAGCAATGAGGATGAAATTTAGAGTCCAGAAAACACGAAGAAAGAGGGGATGAGTAAGAGCTTGAAATCTTTTCTCATGGATGATGAAGAGGGTGATGACAAGAAAAGTGAGAGCTTGAATGAACCAACAGGTTGCATCTATTAGCTTCCATGGCATGTGGGTATTGTGTGTGAAGGCCAAAATGGAGAGTAGAGAGGATAAAAGAGCTAAAATGGGTGTGAAGAGCAGAGATAAGTTAAACCGAAGATTGGTGAGTGCATGAGGTGTGGTTTTGGTAAGAAGAGGTTGATCAGGTTCAGCGGGGGAGATGAGTTTTGAATAGAGCTTTTGCATGGCAAAGAAGAAGAGGATGAGCAAGAAGAGGAGATCAATGGCGGAGAGGAGTGCTCTTWGAGGGCATGGAGAGAGGAAGAATGGAATCCCTGAGACGTCGTCGGGCAGGAGGGAGGAGGGAGAACAGGAAAGAGAAGCGATCCAAGAAGGCATCTTTGATTCCAAAACCAAAAAATGACTTCCGTTCAAACCTGTTTGTAAATGGTGATGGTGTAGCGCGACGGAACAATTTAAAATATGGAAGCACTGCTCGCTSTGTCAACATCTACAATCTAAGCAAGCATTTAACCATAACAARCAAATCTTTTATTTCATTGACAGTTACATGATTTTTGAAGTCTATGATGCAAGTGTAAGAAGAGAGTAGATGTTTGGAAGATGCAAATGAGAAATTAATAAAAACTGAATTCATATGATAAAAAATACAAAAGTAGTTCATTTATATTAAAAGGAGTGATGATGATGATGACAGCTTTTATATATATATATATATATATATATATATATGTGTGTGTTAAGAATGTAGCTGCTGCTGGTAGAGTGCTTTGGTTATGTTTAAAATTATTAGAATTATATATTAAAAGTATAGAATTTGTTGAATATAAACAAGACACATGATGAAAAGTAATACATTTATGAATTAACCACAAAAACTATATAAAAGAAAAGGAGACGAGACGAGACGAGGCGGCCATATTCTTTTCTAATTTTCTGAATCTTTTTTAATTATATATATAATAATAATAATAAAAACAAGAGAGGTTGGTAATTGTTTTTGATTTAATGATTGACCATAATAAAAACAGATATTTTTGTAATAAATAAAGTATCAACAAAAAGTAAATGCTCTTTCAGCCTTTGTGTCTCTTTCACATGTCACATTTTCGTCAAACTCTTTCTCCAATAACRTTATTTTCAATTGGCTAAATTCTACTTGTGATTTTCTACGATTTTTATCTTTATAGTTTAAAATTTTAGTTGTTTTCGTTCTTATACTTTGTAATTTATTGTTATTTTCGTTCTTATGGTTTATGTTGTTTCGTTGTGTGTAGTTTACGATTCTTTAATGTTTTGATCTCTAGTACTCGAAGGAACAATAAATTAGAAATTATTAAATGAAACTCATGATTAATAATAATGAATTATATAACTAATTCAATCCTAACCTATTTATTTTATCACCTTTAATGATTGAAATGTTATAAATTCTCACATTTCTTGAAACATGTTATATACAAAAAAAAAACACTAAAATTAATGATTTCCAAATTTTGATAATGAATTAATTAGGGTAAAGATTAAAAAGATGATTTCAAAGAAGCAAAATTTCAATTGCTCTTCTTCTTTCACATTRGAAAGTCACTACCTACTTAGTTGCCAATCTTGAATAAACACTTTTCAATTTTATGTAATTTCCTTAAAACCATTTTTATTTCAAAATTGATATTTAAATATATAACCGCTAAATGAAACATCGACTTAGATATCAATATTATAATACTTTTTAAATAAACTTGGCAAATACCAGAATTGAATAAATATAAATTAAATCTCGGTATTTCAATTATTCTTTTCTACTTTTTATATCATATAAATCAACATTATATGTTGTTTTTTTTTTATAAGACTATATATGATTCAAGTTAGTCTTGAGAATTTTCCATTATGATGACTTATCAAAAAAAGTTGTTTTGTTTCTTATAAAATATATAAGTTTATGATGCATGAATTATAACCAATATTAATTATTAAATAAGTAAAAGGTGCGCGTCACTGGTGATGTCAATTTGATTAGGACAAGGGGAGAGGCAGGTTCAACGCAAATCCCTACTTCCTTGGGGAACAAAACAACACCCCAATTCTACTTATTATTTATCATTATATCAATATTTTACATATTTTTTTACCCCATTTTATGTTCAATTCAAAATAATAATATCAACATGCATAACTAAATCATAACGTAAAACCACATATTTTTAAGTAAATGCATAAAATTTGGTTGTATTTTTTTTTTCTTTTTGACAATTAATGATATATTGATACGGTCATTTATTCAATAAAGTGTTAATGTTGAATTCAAATTTTTGTAACGTGTGGTTTACATAAACTATGCTATTCCTAACAACGAAATACTCTTTTTGTATGATTTGCTTGATAGTCATACATCATTATCAAACATTCACAATTATTTGACACAACTCTGACCAATCTAGTTTAATCAATTATTACTTGTAAGCGTTCTAGGTTGAGTGATATTTATCAAAAATAAACAAAGTCATGATAATATTATCATCAACTTAATTACTCCTTCAGATCAAGCTTCATCCCTTACGAAAATTGACTTGTTCAAAAATTGTTAMCAGACCCATTTGCATTTGCTTGTCATTATCACTGGTGACATTAATTTACGCATCTATTTTGTTTCTATAAAAGTGATATTTTCAACATTTAATAAATAATTTTAATGGAACTAAAAGATATTCAATATATGACTTCACATTTATTTTGTTACTTTATCTAACTAATAATTACATAACTAAAATATATCTTAATGTTATAAAAATTAAAAGTACTTCAAATAATAATACCTGTTTGTTAACAACTTAATTACTTTCATATGGCTCACAACTTATTTGACCAATTATACATGACTGTTTAATAGTGGTTTAATTCATTAGAAGTTTTTTTTTTAAACCTGTCATTCCCAATTAAAAAAAAATGTTCATTTCATCTATGAAAAAACCCCTCTAATCAAAAACCTTCGTAATCCATACAAATAAATTAATCCACAAAAACAACTTTATCTATACAAAACTTAATTTGAAAACCAACCAAACAGTTCGGGTTTTTTTTTAATTCTAACTTTTCCCTTGCGTAACAAAAAAGGGTTTATGTGAATCTCATCATATTGTGTATGATTCTATCATCTATACATATTGGACAATACTTGATCTTTCGATAATTGCGTGTGAAAAGCAAGATCTCAATCATAAATGCATCCGGTGCCAAATTTGAGTACAACACTGACAATAGCCCACTTCAACCACTACTTTAAACGTATGGGYATGGCTTTTTGTGGATCATGGATACTTACTTCAAACATCTGTCTTCTAGTGCCACCTTSACCTTCCTGAACATAACTAGTTTAACAAATGTTTCAACTCCATAAGCTACACCCTACAAATTATATACATATAAATCCGTATCAATTTTCGACCATSAACTCTTGGCTACTCGTTGTAACACCCGTGTCAACTTCCTTTCTACAAAAATTTCATCTTGTAAAACCACCTCAAACACTTGATTTAGATATGCTCTYTTTATGTATCATCAAGCTCAAAATAGTTTTTAAGTTTGCCCCATCTAGTATTTGGCCTTACCAGAAAAAGACCATCATTTATAAAACAATTTTCATATGACTATGCAAACCATAATCTTTTTACAAAACAAGTCCCCCCTCAGATTCGTCTCATCACTTGCTTGTGTCCTGCCCGATAATAAAAGCAACCATATTGTAAAGATCGGTCGTTGAACCTTCAAAAGCAAATCTGGACCACTTAATGGATCATCTCAGCCAACTTGACTTAAACTCTTAACAAGTCAAGTTCCCACCTAGGTCTCATCTTCAACTATTTGCTTTGTATCTGGCAAACTCCCAYGAGCAATTAGGTTTTAGGCTTCTTTGGCGGGCCCATGTCTCCAGGCTCAGATTTCCGCTTTATACCCAAGAAGTGCTCAACCTGAAAGAAAGTTGTATTCATCACCATTCTAGTCAACAATTTGAATTTTACATTAACCAAGCCTTATATTAGGTCATCTATCCTAGTTTTTGCCAGTCATTTAGWGAAATGACCTTCTATCAAAGTTACTTTTRCAAACTAACCTTCTAGYGTTGTTTCAAAATTTTATAGGGCTGGTGTTTTATCAGCAGATGAATCATCTGTAAAARGTCATGCTCCTAACTGAAAACTCAYTTAACTAAATATCCCTTATAATACACAGGCTAACTGGTGCAGGCATGGCCATTTCACCACTTAGCTCTGACCCAAGACTCGGACCRTTCAAGATTCTATAGAGACATGGTGTTTAACAACAGAGGTAGAATCTAATACTGGATTAATTAAATGATTATCTGATATCATAATGCATCAAATGAATATACTCTATGATGAACAATGGATAACAAGAAATCAAAAAACCAAAAAGAATATGGTAAACAAAGGGGATAAATAATTAGTTGCCAGCAAACAGAAAAGATAGTGTAAAGTGATGCACAAACCTTTCTATCGCCAAGCATAGGTGTCAAGCTCCCTGGGAAGTCCTCCATTGTAGCAAAACCACTTCTAGGATCACTTGTTTGGCTAAAAGAATTCACAACATCCATAGAAAAAAGGTTAAAATCACATTAATGAGTAGAAGACAAAATTGTTGCAGATATAAATAACTAACAAAAAAGATACATACGCCAAAAAACAAAAAATACTGAAAGCAACGAGGCGTGTATCGCTCACGAAAAAGGTATCAGGCACCAAATTCCCCATCTATGTTTACATTCTTATATAACCCAGCCCAAACTTCTAACAATTCCCACAGCCGTCCTAACTATCACAGCTAATACGATGAACTACAACTTAAGAATTAAACCAATGTAATTGTCATGATCATGCCTTGGTCAGCATCTTTGCTTAAGTAAATGATTGTCCACAACACATTTGCATTATATATGATGCATTTTAATTTAAAGAGGGCTACCAACAAAAAGTATAACTCAACCATTTATCCAACCACTACAACCTTGAGACTGCAATATAAATGAGTTAAAATGATACTGTTATAAAAGAGTGAATATCGAGATACATTCATATATAAGAGAAATATAGAGTGGGTGGCACCAAGAGGCTCTTGGACTTGACAAACTGAGACGAGCTTCAAACCATTACGCACATATCTACAAATCTAAGTAGTTTCTGCTACTAATAGGTAACCATGATCTTATTTTCTCTTAGCTCCTTTATTGACTTAGATATTAATGTTATATGAAACAGACATGGAAAAAAAAAATATGTAACGAGAAAAAGATCAGTCGTACCCTGGTTTTACATGGCCACTAAGAACAAGATAAGGTGTCTTCATCTTAGATTGAGCTTCCCTCATTCTCTCAACAGACAGTGATGGTGTGTCKGAGTTTTTCATTTGTTTCACCTTCAGCTCCTCGTGATATTGCCGCATACGCTTTTCTTGTTTCATTTTGCCAGGCCCCTTCCCATGGAATTTATGTGAAATCAGCCTAAAGGCCTCCTTAGGAGTCAACTGTTAAAAACAAAGAATCTCAGTCATTGATAAGATAATCATAACTTATTCAGGAAACTGTCTTCTGGAAGAAGTCACATGTTGCAACTGAAACCATTCACAGACTATGATCTGTATTACATACTGCATACATGCATATTAAAAGGATGCATGTTGAACAGAAAAAAAGCGCTCAGGTAGATTTCAATTTTTGAATCTTTCAGTGAGAGGGAATATGAACAACCTCTAGGCATTTAAAGGGAGAGCATGGTAATGACATTGACAGGTCGACACCCATTTTTATCCAAATACAAGAAAGTCCATAAGCCATGCTTAAGATGGGAAAGCACTGAAAAAACCATGTCCTTACAGCATARCAGAACTCATTTTGCTTCGCTCAAGCATTCTACTATTAACATGTCAGGGGGAAATAGTAAACATCAGAAGACAGTAACCAAGACCCAAGTAATATTTTATTTGCTAATTGCATCTTTTGGTTCATTCAATGAAAAACCAATTCTCCATGCACAATTTACTACAAGTAAACCCAGTCGAATTTTTTTAATTTTGCTGATTTTTTTCTTTCAATTAGTTTATTGGATTATTTTCCTCAATACACAATTTGCTACAAGTAAACCCAGTCGACGTTTTTACAAAGAAATGCATCCATAATGGGCAGTTGCAGAAAACCTACAATTAGAGGCAACCATCACCAACAAAAATCAACCTAGCATATTGACCGTATGTCAGAATTATCAAAATTTCATATTGCCATAAAATTGGSATAACTCAAAGACCTGGAGTATTATGTTAGGGGTTTAGCTGAATGTAAATATTTCACATGCATCACTAACACCTAACATAACAATAGTATCAAGATAAAAGTATAAAAGTCTTAAGTGGTTGCAGTGAATACTTACAATTCTTCCATATTCATCTGTCCTCTCAATGCGTATCTCCTTTTTATCATCATTATCRTTAACAAGACCAACGAGCTTACTCTTTTTCTTGTCCATATTCCGACCACCCCATTCCACAGTGTCTTTAAGAGTACCCCTGTCCTTAAGTAGCTGAAGTGCACCAGATAACCCTTTACCAAGTGTATTCTCATGAATTGTTTCATCTGGTTTGACCTCTTCCTCCTCATCTGCCATCTTTTCATCCTCAACAATATCTTTCACCTCTGCCCAGCCACCGTCTTTGCCTTTTTGTTCTTGATCCGATGATGCTGGTACTACGTCCTCCTCCATAAATACATCTTCAGCATCAGGATTATGAGCTTCTGAAAAGCACAAGAAGAACAGAACTATAAAYGAGAGACATTTAAAAAACTGATTAGACAGCATTATTGTATACAAAGCTAAAGCACATGCAGTTTAAAATAGGAAGGACTAGCATGCCTTCATCAAGCTGAAGACCCCATACAAACTCCTCCATCTCTGTGAAGACAACCTTGTTTTCTTGTGACTCTCCAGATCCTGGGTCGGCATCCGAGTTCTTAGTAGTGGAAGAAGCAAGTAGAGCAATTGCTTCAGATTGTGTACCCTCATGTTGCCTCTTTAGAGCTACTTTYCTTGCCCTTTGTAATGATTTATGGAGATCATCATCATCATCGCCAAATACAAGGTTGTCTCCGTCCTCCTTTTGAAYAGTAACGGTCTGTTCCAGTCGCAGTGCTTTAGATGCTTCATCTGCCTTGACATATGCAGATTGGAATGCTTTGTTTCTCTTTTCAGCCTCAGATCTCTCTTGTTCCTCTTTAAGGGCCTGCCTTTTTCCATCAACTCGTGAACCAAGGTCCCCAGTACCCAACCCTGTAGACCGAGCTTCTGCCTCAAGAGCATCAATATCCAACTTATCTTTTTTTCTCAAAGATTTCTTTTTCTTGGGCTTTTTGAACTTTAGCATCTCTTCACTGGTATAATAGTCTGTTGAGACCTTCCCAGATGTAGTAAGATCTTCAAAGCGAGTGGTCACAGACGCACCATCTATCCTTCTCCTAAGCTGCAAGTTAGAGCAACCGCTATTTATTAATTCTCTCTTTGCAAAAGTTAAAAATCAAACAGCAACATCTGAAAGAGTTACCTCCTCCAATTTTTTCTCAGCTTCACCACCAAAGCGCCCTCTTTCATCAAGAGTTACACCCTAGAAGAAATTATATGGTCAAGAAATTATATGAATGTGTCATCRATATATGAATCAAGATGATATATTCACCTCGTCGACAACAGGATCATCATATTGTGGAAGCATTTTTTTTCCAACTCCAGCCTCTTCATTAAACCTGCAAAATAGAAGGACCAGAAAGCAAGATTAGCCTCTAAAAGCATTACCAAGAAACCACAAAAAATTCAACTATTAAACTTACTTATCATCATAAACTCCAGTTTTCTTTGTTGCTGCCTTATAAGCCTCATTTCTCCGCTTCTGCTCACCAATCTCCACATTTTCAAGCATATCAATCTCTGGTGTAYACAAAGTCACCTTAAGAAATCTGGGTCCAGCAGAAAACCACTAAAGATGACAGAGAAAGAAATTGAACAACTAATAACAAGAGAAAGTAATTTACCTTGATTAATGTCACCATTAGCAAGTATGCTCTGATCTTTCAGTGTCAAAACAACTGCACCACCTTCAATCACCTTGTCAAGGCCATGAAGAACTTTAAACCCAGCAAGGTCATCTGCCAACGTTGTTCCACAAAGCTTTAAGACAATCTCAATAGATAGATCAGTATTCAAAAGGAACAGAATAATTTTGGACATGCCCCACTGTCTCCAATATGGGATGGAAAGAAAGTAGAAGAAGAAACATAGAGAAGCATAATCATCTGGAGCAATCAGTGACGCCATATAACATCGATGATATAGATGCTACATATTCTAAAAATTAAAACATAGAGTCTCCTTAAAAAGAGTAAGCAACTAAGCATCTAGCAATCAAGGATAGGTAGCAATAGTGATGTGTATAAGTATACTAGAGAAGAAACCGTACGAGATGTATGCGARCGAGTAGCCTCTTCGTCTTCATCCTCTCCTTGAGTGGCATTGTCCTGAATTTTCACAACTTATATTAATCAGATGMACGATAGAGAAATCAGTCTAACTCACACATGAAAACATGTCAGAAGAATATAACCAACCTGCTCCTCGAACATCTTTGATCGTTGCAATGCTTTCTGCTTTTCAGCATTCCTCTTATCCTCAAGCTTTCGGCTTTTACTAACCCACGATAATACATCGGAACCGCCTTCTGGCTTTTTTTTTAATCGTTCTTCCTTCATCCTAACAAAAGAAGGACAGGAATAAAATGATATTGTACACGTCATTAGCACACACTGAATTGAAAACTGAACCCATCTTTTAAAGCTCCAAGCCTCACATAAAAAAAGAACAATGAATACTATACTAAAATCATACTACTAATAACTTGACCGTAAACTTTTGTATGGTGCAAAGCTCTTTTTGTAATAACAATTTGCATATTATTATTAGAAAACCTCTTCTAGTATTAGAAATTTGCATGTTTCTTATTAGAAAACCTCTTCTTCTAACTGAAGACTGTTGTATGATGCAAACCTAATTACTTTGTATGTGTATTCTAAAGAGAKATAGTTCACAATACTATATGCAAAACATGACCGTAGAGGCGTAGACTGGTGTAGGGTTCAGACTTGATTTGCATGTGCAATCTAAAGAAATCTACTTCCGATGCTATACAAAGAATATGTTTTAAGCAAATAATAATATAGAGAAGAAATCTTAACAGAATGAAGAAGGACAAAAGAGGGAACTTGCTTTAGTGAAAACCAAAAAGAATCTAAGCATACTAMAAATTGATTTAAATAGAAAATGAAGAATTAATGACGGATGTTTCTCACCTCATAATGCGATCTTGAAGTTCAGATGCAGACTGCTGAGATCCTGCATGTTCACCTTCAGCATTGACTTCATGCTTAAGGATTTTAGTGGCATCTTTGTCACGATGAGAACCCATATCATGCTTACCTGTACCCCTATATTGACCATCCTCAGAATCWGATGTTAGCTTGTCATCCTTCCCCAAATCTTTATGTAACTCCATGTGTTGCTTCCGGCTCACTTTATCTCTCTCTCTGGACCTATCTTTATCATAATCTCCATCCCTCTCCCTCTCCCTCTCCCTAGTTTTCTCTCTGTCCCTGTCGCCATGAGTTTCTCTCTCTTTCTCCCTGTCTTTTTTTCTCTCTCTCTCCTTTTCCCTCGTCCTCTCTTTCCCTTTGTCAGTTCCCCTTTCTCTGTCCCTGCTCTTCTCTTTTCCCCTCTCCTTATCCTGCCCACGGTCACCATCTTTCTCTACCTCCTCTTTCTCATGATCTTTATCCCTGTCATTTTCTTTTGCCCTCACCTTATCTCTGGTCCTATCCTTTTCACGGTCATCTCCTTCTTCCTTTCGTTTGTCTCTGCTAAAATCTTTCACAAAACCTTTAGACTCTTTGTCCCTCTCTTTTGAAGTATCACTGATCTTTGACTTCTCTCGATCTCTACTTCTGTGATCCTTGTCTTCTCTTCGACTACTCCTACTTTTCTCCTTACTACGATGCTTCGATTCTCGTGATTTATCATTGCCATTGTCTTCCAAATCATCATATCCTCCCTTCCACCTCTCGCCCATTGGAGASTTATCCTGATCCCTATCCTCAACACTTCTCCCACATCTTGCATCGGACCGCTCCAGATCCATAATGACTCCGATTATCAAACGCAAACTTAGCACTTAATTAGGGYTGGGTAGTAAGAAAATGTATTACAAAAGTATATGAAGGCAAGATGGACACCCTGTCACCAACAAATAAAAGCAAAGATGATGTTAGTTTAATTACAAAATCAATAAAGGGTGGCAATGTAGGACAAAACGAAAAAAAATCCCAAGAKCATTTAATAAATTCCTTATTAATGAGGAAATAGCATAGACATTCAAAGCATGCAAAATCAAGGTTAGAGTTCATGTAACTATGAATGAATCCATTGGTACAAAATTAATCACATATAACCCGTGTCATGACACAACCATTTGATAGGTTCATGTGAATAAGTAAATGGTCATGATTGCTAAATATAGTAGGAAAATTGAAAAGAATATGACGACTTACTTCATGACCATTTGACAAAGAAAAATATGAACTCATGAACTAGTGTGTACCATATTATGAACTTTGAAGCCAAAGAAACTAAAACAACATGGAGTACGTAATTTGTTGCTCTCAGTTATGCATGCTCTTCCCTTGATGTAATACAATTCCAAGGACTTGGAGAGTAAAGATCTTTCGTGTATCTCGTCATATTTCCTAAGGTACTTTACMGCAATCTTCATGCTCATAGTAGGCTAGCCCTTTTTGTTGTATATCTAGAAGGTTCCTAGCTCTAGAATGCTCCTTGTAGAGGTAGAGACTCTAATAAAGGAAGGAAGTCTCCCATATTGGTAACCATTCAAAATGGACATAAAAGAGAGCATTATAAAAAACARAAGGTATAACGCGTTCTCTCAATCTCCTCATGGTCTTCATCTTGTGATTCCTTACAGCATACCTGGCTTGAATAGAACGGTGATGTTCCATCACAAAGTTAAAGTATTGGCTACATATGCATCTCATTACACATTGCTAAATTGGTTCCACTAGATAGTGCTCCAAAGATGAAAAACACAATTTAAATTTAACTCACCATAGAAGCCATTGGTGTTGTAGCTATCCAACCTTGGCTCATCTTACCATAAATAAAGCTAAAGATTCAACAGACTACCAATAAGTAAATAGTTCTGTACGACCAACATAACAAACTAATCAACCGATTTCAACAACTTCCATATATGTTCACTTTTCTGCTAGTTTCACATCATATATATAAATTCATTTGTTTAAAATACTGAGTTAGTTGCATGGTTTCCTTAATAAGGCGGTTCTAAAGATTTTAATTTATATCAATCTTGTAACTTGACTTTTGCAATCGATACATATTTCGCATCTAAACTTACAGTTCAATTGCTAATCGGAAATGTTCGATTTGATTGTACAAATCATAAATCATCAAACACTAACCCACACAATATAGAACGGTAATTCGGTAAAACTGTTAGATCGCCTGTGTTGGATCTAAATCAGATTCCGGATCAATCTTATTTATTATTGTTAGAGGTGTCAACATTGGGTGCGGGCCAGATTGGATAACAGCCAATATGAAAAATGGTTCAAAATGGACAAGTCAAGTGGATACTTTTTTCAAATGGGTTTAAAATGGGTCAAATTTTTGGTTGGGTCTAGCCTACTATGAGCATGAAGATTGCTTTAGAGTACCTTAGGAAATGTTAAAAGATACACGGGAGAGCTTAACTCTCCAAGTCCCTAATAATTATATTACATCAAGGGAAGATCATGCATAAYTGAGAGGAGCAAATTATGTACTCAAAGTTCATAATATGCTACACACTGGTTCATGAATTCATATTATTCTTTGTTAAAGGGGCATGAAGTAAGTCATCATATGCTCTTCAATTTTCCTACTATATTTAGCAATCATGACCRTTTACTTATGCTGATAATATTTACTCTTCGTCTTAGTAGCCACTTTGTATAACAATGATTCATTGTTATGAGCCAAGTAATTCAATTGAGAATCAATCTCACAGATTTCATGAAAGAGAGTGTTGGAAGTAACATGCAATGTGCCACTAAATTTCTAAGTAACCTCGTAAAAGATGGACAAATATTTGACAATAAAAGCACACTCCCAATCRCTAGAACTAGGTGGTCCAATCCTCTTCTTGTTTTCTTTCTCCTCGAAGTAACTCAAAAACTTGTCATCTTCATCTGCATACCTTTCAAATGTCTTTTCAAACTTAAGAACTACATCCAACATTATAAAAGTAGAATTCCATAGTGTAGGAACATCTAAAACCAACCACCCCTTGCATTCAATTTTTCCTTCTCAACGCAAGATCTAAACTTTTGCAACCTTGAAGAAGATGAACKAATATATCTAACACAGTTTACAATGAGGTTTAATTATAATACCCGTCAGATATATATGTGTGTGTGTATATATATATATATATCAGTGCAAGTTTAATATATATATATATATATTTATATTGAAGTTTGGGTTAGTTTAGGAAGTTGACCAATCTTGAGGGGTTAATTTTGCATAACTCGCTTTAACTTTGCAATTTGGATGACGGGCTTGGGCTTGGGCTTGGGCTTTTGTATTTAGATTAGGGTTTAATTAGGGTTTTTTTTAATTCTTATATAAACCTAAACCTAATCCTTATTTAGCCTAACCCTAATTCTTATATAAACTTAACCCTAATACCTCTAAATGTGTTAGCCGCTAGAGAGAAACCCTAAGAGCTTGGAAGAATCCATTGATAACCTAGGAGGGAGCCGACGGCCAAAAGCAAGCAAGGTTCCATCGATTTCTTGTCGGTTTGAGGTAAGTTTTTGTCCCATTCTCGAATCTATACATTTAGTAGTTGGGTTATAAAATTTTGGGATTGTTCCGATGACTCAAAGGTCACCGATTCGGTCAATAGTAATGGCAACAACTAGGGTATGTCAAAATCATCTTTAAAACCCAAAAATTCTTCTCGTTCTTCTCTCGAATTTGATCTTATGTGGTTTGCATAGTATGGATATATATATATATATGTACATATATATATATATATATATATTGATAAGATTTAGTTGAGTTTAGTTACATTATTAGTCGTTAAAGTGATTTAGTTGAGTTATGCCATCAAGTTATCAGTTAGGATTGATAGTAAGTTTGGGTGTTTGTTTAGGGCATATATAAAGAAATAAACTTGGGGAAATCGATAAGTTTTGTGAAGTTTAAGGTACGGATTCTTAATTCCATTCATTCATTTGATTCGTTCACATTTGTTTACGAGCCTTAAGCTTTCTTTCAACTCGGATTGATTGACTCACGATTATTGATATCCTTATTGTACCGCATTTCCATTCACTTGCAATTGTTTTATGTCGTACATACCGTAAGAAAGCCACTTTCTAATCATGTTATTTAAGTGGGTCATTGTTGGTACAAGTATGTGTTTTCTCCAAAATAATACGTTTATTTGTTCGGTAATATTTTGGTATGATTTTTACGTCTAAAAGTACATATGTTGGTACTTTAGATCGATTATGTATTCTTCGAATTGAGCCTCCTTATATCATGACTATTTGTTTATTCAACATAATTCCTTACTTGACTTATGTTTGACTTTTCGTTTGACTTCGTTATTTATTGACCATATGTAAGACGTATAACGTCACATTCGTTGTGACAACTCAACTCTGGGTAATTCGAGCTACTAACCACCTATGGGGGTACCATAGGCACGTCATTGTGGCACCGATGGCGTGACACTAACCGTGGCAGTGTGATCAGTCCACGGCGTCTCCTCTTTTGTGCTCTTGTGAGAGCTATTTTGGTGTGATAGATATTAGATTTAGGAGGCGTATAGGTCGGCCATATATCTGACACTTGTCATGTTAGTTAATATGCAAGTGTATGCGTTTTCGAGCTCGATTTGTCCCTTCATATGATTTTGTATGTTTATGTTAATTGTTGATTTTCTAAGATTTTAGTACTCATTTGGTTCGATGTCCTGAGATATTTTTGGCATGTTTGTATTACCATTTTTCTATATTTGTTTATCCGTTCACTGGGCATTTGGCTCAGCCGTGTTTTCTTCTATTCTTCACGGCAGGTAATCAAGGGGAGGCTAGGTTTTGTGACAGAGAGTAGGCAAGGATCTTGGTTCCAAGGATTTCAAGAGGTTGAATGCTATGTTAATTCATTTATTGGATTTTTTTATCTTTTGGCTATTAGATTAGATTTCCTTTAAGGGTTGTTTTTGGATTTTCCTTGGTTGTTGGAGGTTTTTGGAAGTGGTTTGTTTGGAGACCTTTATATCTTATTTGGAGTTATATTCAATTTCGTTATTGGAAGATTTTATTTTATTTCTTTGTATTGAAGACTATATTTTGGAGGTTTTATATTACGGCTCCATTACGTTTGAAGCAACCTCCCTTCCTTCGGGTTGGGGGTGTTACATACTATGTCAGCACCACACATTAAATGCATGTACTCACCATCAAGACGAATCCACTCCATGTGTTAACCCTT